TTTAGAACAAGAAGTTTTTAGAAGTAAAACAAATAAGCAATGCACATAAACATGCACTCACATTAACTTGGCATTGATTGATTATAGTACACATAAAGACATTTTCATAACTAATCGCTACAATTTCAATGTATTGACGTTAATAACTAACTAAAGTATTACTAACTATAACTAATAGTAACTCAGAAATTTCATAACTAACTATAACTAACTAAAAGCAATTCAGAAGTGTTGTAACTAACTATAACTATATAACTAAAAGTAATCTAGAAATGTCATAACTAACTATAACTAACTAAAAGTAATCTAGAAATGTCATAACTAACTATAACTAACTAAAAGCAATTCAGAAGTGTTGTAACTAACTATAACTAACTAAAAGTAATCTAGAAATGTCATCACTAACTATAACTAACTAAAAGTAATTCAGAAATGTCATAACTAACTATAACTAACTAAAAGTGCAGAATGTGATATAAAAACAACACTAGTTATTATACATGTATAATATTTAGCACTTACCTCCAGAAGGAACTATAAAAAGTAGAGAAGGAGAAAAAGATTAAATAGAAAAGACACAATATAAATCAAATGCTCATATAAAGTTACTATCCTTTACCTTCTATTATAATGCCACTGACTGAGGTCCACCTACTGTATGGACTGTACACATAAGTAACATCAGGATTAGCTGTACTCTGGACTGCTGTCCTTACCCTCACCTTAAGAATAAGTAACAATCACATGATAATCACATAATGATACTGAGGTACATGTACATGTAAGCCTGGTAACTGCATGTACTGTACAATATAGAGGGTTTCCCACAAAGCATGCTAAGTGAGCAAAACAGCATGAGCTTCATGAGCTGACAAGCACTACAATACAGTACATGGCATTTTGAGCAACTTTAAAAATTCATTAAAAAATCCTGACTTTATTGGAATCAGCTCAAATTTTGTACACAACATAAGAACATGTATATGTATCAGAAAAAATTATAAAACCAATTTTGGCGAAATTTGGTTGAAATTACTGTACTATAGTAAAGGAACTTCGGCCCAATTTTTGAGTAACTTTAAAAATTCATAAAAAATGAATTTTGATCGGAATCAACTCAAACTTGTTACACAACATAAAAACATGTATACGTATTACAAAAATAAAAAGAAGTAAAAATCTTCTCCTTTTCATTTTTGGAAAATTTGGCTAAAAACTAAAGTACAGGACTTTGGCCCAATTTTATTGTACACCATTCACATGTATAGTACATGTACGTGTACATCACATAATAAATGAGTTCCTCACTTGATATCCCTGAGCATTACTGACATTGAATATACTAGAGAAACTAAACCCTGGATCAATGAACAGCGTGTTAGCAATGGAAGACCTCGTGTCCTTAAATTCAACCTGATAAAACGCTACCTCTCCCTCAGGGGGTGTGGTCTCAACAGTGTCCGGAGTGCGTTGTTCTCGACGTTACGAGACAAATTAACATTATTAGGAGGAGTAGTGGGGGCTGGATATAAATAAGAAAATGAATCTGTGTAGCAATCAGAGGAACTGGAGAGAGAAGGGGAGAAAAGAGTAGAGAGAGAAAGAAGGGAAAAAATTAGGTAGCTCCACAGAAACCAAGACACAAACCACATCATATTCTCATAAAAATTCTCTTACTTTGTCCTCATTATCTAATAGTGTCTTCGGGGAAGAAAGGGATTTTGATTGATGTTCGTTGACTTGCAATTGGAGCCTCTCTAGTTTCACAAGCCCCAGCCTACCAGTTATGGTCCATATTTTGCCAACTTGACAAATTCTTTAGGCAGTGGCTATTTTTACGGGCCCGTAATCCGACCGTGGGTGGCTATTTTTACGGCAGATGATTTATCTATGGATTTACTCA